TTCAGCAGAAAAAATTATTGATAATCGAATCAAATTTCAAAAAGAAAATATATACAATCGTGTTAATTATGAATTATGGGCTTTGTAATTTATCGCTGTAGCGATGTATCGCTACCCCAGGTCTAAGTCAAATCAAAATCCCGAAAATCAAAATTCCGAAAACCAAAATCCCGAAACTTAATTGTCACGTAACGTGAAGTCGGGATTTCAATATTAAACACCGCCCATGATTAGGTATAAATGGGTAAAATCTATATTACTAATCATAGCCGGAGTTTGAATATTGAAACCCCGACATCACGCGATGCGACAACTAAATATCAGGGAGTAGCGATACATCGCTATGGCGATAAAAAATAAAATCCATGAATTATTAGAAGGTATTTCTACACCCCCCAGATATCAAAAAGAGCTCCGAAATGGATATTCTTATTAAGTAAACTCTCTTTTTGGTCTTAATAAAACTTAAAAGAGTCCTTTCTCAAAGTGTAATTTTAAAATACAACACTAAAGAGGAGTTAATTAAATTAAAATTTAAAAAAATTTACATGGTCAACTTGAATAACCCATAAATGCGCTCCTAATGTTGATCTCGTTATATGGTCAGTAATTCCCAACTTTTCTAAATCCTCATCACTTATTTTTATAATATCTTGCCATTTCTTTCCTTTAAAATAATGTGTTAGGTTTTGCATATGGAATCCTTTAAGCCATTTTGGAAAATCTAAAATAAAAAAAAAAGATAATTAAAAATAGAGTATTGCTATTTCCACCCCATTTTTGCTAATGCCACCCAAAATTTTAAAACAGTGCTCCTGAAGAGGTATTGTTATTAAGTAAACCCTTAATAAAAGTTGTTCATCAGGCCTTTCTGGTTCTAATGATAGTAAAATTAGACTGATAGTTTTTTTTTAAAAGTAAATGAAAGTTAACTAACTTCGGATATAAATATCTTAGGACCACTGATCCAATTTTAATGATTTTACTACTATTAGAACAAGAAAGGCCTGATGAACAACTTTTGACAACAATAAAAGACTGTATTTAGAAGATACACTTTTAGTAATAAATCGATTTTAATATTAATTCTGATTTTTTAGGCAATAAAATTTGGGTTGCCTATACCGAAAAAAATTTTGTCAGGGATTGGAAACAATTATATGGGAAAGAAGTTTTAGAAGGTATGTAAAATTATAAAAATTGATTTGATTTGTTAAAATCATTTATAATTAAAATATTCTTATTGCTTATTTAGATTTTCCTGCATACTTGGACTTAATTAGAATGAAACGATTAGCTCCATTATTTAAAAATAAAAAATTTGAAGATATTTTGGAAATGAGTTCTCAAGATTTAAAAGGGTTGGGTGTTGAATTGGCAAAAGATAGGATTAAATTGGTCAAGATTTTTTGGCGTATTAAACGCAGAATTGTACGTAGTTCTCTTTTGGAGCTGAATTTATCTATTTATTTTATTACTACTATTATTGTTATTGGAAATAATATTGATTTGGTTCTTTATATCTTGTTAATCATAGTTCTTTGAAAATATAATCAAGCGAATTGAAAGTAAAAGATTCAAATAAATCTGAAAAAAAGTGAAGCTTAGAATAATAATGATCTTATTCTAAGGTAAAGATCTATATATACTTACTCATTTTAAATTTGTGAATTAATAATGTCGATTATAAATTGTTGGTTCATGACTGATTGACTGCAATCGGCAAATGGCATTTAACCTGAGTACCTCGCAAAAAAGGCGCTGCAAAAAAATTTACACAACCGTTAATCAAGTGAAAAATATAAGCCTAACATCTCCAATTTAAAGCATTTCGCACGTTATTTAAGAATAAAAATTTCGTTATAAAAATTCGTGCAGTTGGATTAGAACTAATATAAAGGCTAGAAAAACCAAAAAAAATTTTATTGTACTTTCATTGACAAGATTTCAAATTGAAAGTAGAGGCTGGAACCAGTTTTATTTATAAAATCAGGTTTTAGGTTTTAAAAACAAACTGGATTATTTGGTTTTTCAGTTGTAATAAACTTGCAAAACCGAATCAACTCGGATTGTAGTCATTAATTCTTATGGTTACGGAAAAAAATTGCATTAATCCGGATAATGTACATGCATTAAGACACTATGCAACATCTCGAATGATGAGCTTTGCCTCTCCACCAATTAGAATGCAATGAAATCACATGATCTCTTTATAGATAACGCTAGATTAGATAGTGGTGATACGTATATAAAGTAAAATTGCTCATGAAATTTTTTTGCTAGAGCACAAAAGGTGTTTTCTTATGCAAAATTTCAAGAAATATGCAATTTTGAAAAATCAAATGTCCACGCTACAAACTCAGCACATATTATATCTTGAGAATATCTTGAGAATGTCTTTAAACTAAAAAGCATACCTTTTTATTTGATATTTAAAAAACATATAACAATATTCGATATCATCAAAATCAATCATTCTTTCTGAAAGTCAACATAACTTACTGTACGTAATATCGTACTGTACTACTTTACCGCATTTATTTTTATAATCATTAGGAATTTTCAAGTAATTTATCTGATATTTCTCGTATATCAATAGGTTTACTGACATACATATGACTAGGATGTTTTGCTAATTCAATGTTAGGTTTAGCTTTATCAGCTTCTAAAAATTGGTCTTTTAATTTATTTTCATCATCAGAACTTTCTGTTTCTTCAATCCATGTAGTAATCAAAGCATTAACAAATCGGATACTAGGCCGTTTTTTCGGATTCAATTCCATGCATCGCTTTGCTAATTCAATGTAGCAATCAGGAGTACCTGATATGAATTCTGGTTGAAATCCATGGCAAATTTTTATCGCAAATTCGTTATCAAAATTATAACCATCGAAAGCCTTTCTTCCGGTTGATATTTCTGTCATAATGATACCCAAAGCATAAATATCAATTGCTTGAGTATATGGTTCTCCTTGTAAAATCTCCGGTGCCATATAAGGTAAAACTCCGTACACTTCTTTTTCACACACTTCTTTGTTTGCATTAGAGAGTCCTAAATCAGTAATATACGCGTTATCCAATTCATCTTGCAAAATGTTTCCACTATGAAGGTCTCGATGTTCTAATCCTTGTGAATGAATTGCTTCAAGATCAGATGTTATGCAACTTAATAAATTTAATTTTTCTTTCCATTTCATTTGCGATACTTTATGAAGATTATTACGTAAAGAACCCTTTTCTGCATATTTCAAAATAAGAATGTAATTTCCTGAATCATCTCTTGACAGTCCGTAGCACTTTAAGAACGATGGATTTCTATATCCGATCTCGCAAAATGCTTTTAACTTTAAACAATTATCATAAATTTAAATATTAAAAAATTAAAATTTAAAAAATAATCATAAATCCATGTATTATACGAAACTCAATAAATTCACCTCGTCAAAAAAATCTTGATCCAGAATTTTTTTAATTGCGACCGAATATCTTTCAGAAGAATCCTTGTATTTAATTAGACATTTAGCATGGTAAACAGTTGCAAATCCTCCTTTTCCGATTTCTTTAATATTTTCAAAATTAAAATATGGTATCCATAATAATTGATACCTTTCGTCATCCAATATTTTTTTTACATTATCATCAACATCAAAATAAGAGAATTTCTTTATTTCTATTTATTTTTAATTAATAAATATTTAGCAAAAATAAACCAAAATTAAAAATATATATATATACATACCTTGAAATTTATTTTTCTCCCTATAATTACAATCATTAAATATTTATTATTATATATATAATTTTTGGGGAAATTCTATTTTCACCCGGGTTAAAGCCACCCAAACTATTACTAATATTATTAATTTTAGTCACGCAAATGACATTATAGTTTATCGGATGACTTTAACCCATGTAAGAATAGTTTTTTTTTTTAAAAAAAAGAGCTTACTTTCGAAACCAGTATTCAGCCTCTTTTAAATCCTTTTTTGTTCCAATACCATTTCGATAACAATATCCAACATTTCTTATTCCATGGACATTGCCCAATTCAGCAGATTTCAAATACAATTCAAAGGCTTTTTTAAGATCTTTTTGAACTCCAATTCCATACTGATAACATTCTGCAAGATCACAATTTTCAAAAAAAATATCTGCTTCAACGGCTCTTTTATAATAACGGAATGCCATATTTTCATCTTTTTTAACCCCTTCTCCAAATCGATAACATTTTCCAACCTTATTCATTCCACCGGCGTCACCCATCTCTGCAGATTTTTGATAATAAACAAATGCTTTATGTTCATTCTTTTCAACACCAATTCCTTCACCATAACAACGTCCAACCATATATGCTCCTTTAGTGTGTCCCATATCTGCAGATATTTGATAATAACTAAATGCCTTATGTTCATCCTTTTTAACACCAATTCCTTCGTCATAATAATGCCCAACAATATATGCTCCACTAGCGTGTCCCATCTCTGCAGATTTATGATAATAATTGAATGCCTTACATTCATCCTTTTCGACTCCAATTCCTTTTTCATAACAATATCCAACATTATATGTTCCTTTAATTCCGTTAGTATCCGTTCCCCTTGCGGATTTTTTATAATAAATGAACGCATTACGCTCATCTTTTTCAACTCCGATTCCTTTCTCATAACAATATCCGACATTAAATATTCCTTTAGCATGTCCCAAATTTGCAGACTTTTGATAATAGATGAATGCTTTAGATTCGTCCTTTTCAACCCCAATTCCCTTTTCATAACAGTATCCAACTTTAAATATTCCATCAGAATTACCCATGTCTGCGGACTTTTGATAATAGGTGAATGCTCTATATTTGTCATTTTGAATCCCAATTCCTTTTTCATAGCAATATCCAACTTGAAATATTCCATCAGAAGAGCCCATGTCTGCGGACTTTTGATAATGAATGAATGCCTTAGGTTCATCCTTTTCAACTCCAATTCCATTTTCATAACAATATCCAATATTGAATGTTCCAGCTGCGTTTTCCATAGCGGTAGACATTTGATAATAAGAAAATGCCATGTTTTCATCTTTTTTAACCCCTTCTCCTAATAGATAACATTTTCCAACCTTATTCATTCCATCGGAGTCACCCATATCTGCAGATATTTGATAATAAATAAATGCTTTATGTTCATCCTTTTTAATCCCGATTCCTTCGTCATAACAATGTCCAACCATATATGTTCCTTTAGCGTAGCCCATATCTGCAGATTTATGATAGTAAACGAATGCCTTATTTTCATTTTTTTC